AAAGCTGTTTAAAAATATACAAACAGGCTACAAAAGTGGTTGTGTTTAATGACGAATTATTAGCATCAAGCAATGTAAGACAGAGATGCACTATTACCTTTTAAATTAAATAATTAAACCGTTGGTCTCAGTGTTGAAAAATGTTGGCATGGAACGAGGGCGCTTTAGACTGTGGTCTTTACAATATGTAAAGTGACCTTTACGTCTGATCTGGTTTTTATTTCAAAATTCCTTGCGACAATGTAAGCACGAATAAAATTCTTCGAACTGAAATCAGCTAATGGTCTTAAAATAAATTGCACTAAAGACAAATCTATACGGATCAACGCCAACAGTAAGTTTTAGTTTCTTGTAAATAGCAATAGTGTGAAAGATGTCAGTGAGTTAAAGTACATGGAAAGTATAGTAGCTATCGACACAGACACCATTGTGGGCGTTAAGAATCTGTGTAGTAAGCCATTCCAGAGAAAAAAAGGGATTAAAGTAAGGAAAGAATAATGTGCAACAGCCGTTAACAGTCAAGCAAATATAAAATGTATAAAGATTCACTTATTGAAAGCATTCGTGCGATGAAAGGAAAATATACTCAAAGGGAAGTTGGAGATATATTAACAAACACATTCACTTTGATTTTTCTTTCATTTTTTTTTAATTTGAAATAACATCACATATCCTTTTTTGAGACATTTAAGCAATACACAAGAAAAATACTAAATTTCACATATGAAACTTTTCACTCTGGCAACTGTTGCTGTTGCTGCTGCTATTTACAGTTGGCAACAAAATTCAAAAAGCGTTTAAATACTTACAAAACACAAAAAATTATTTGTTTCCGAAAGCTTGAAATATCTCAAAGACAAGAGTTCCTTTTTACATTTCAGTTCAGAATGCAAAAAAAAAAATATTTCCATCGATGCGAGAAAATTACGATTTCAACATGTCCTTTGATTTCACTTATTTTTTTAAGAAATAGTTTAACAAATTTTCATGCTTCAGTTAGAAAATCATAATCCTTTTACGCTTGCTTCCATTTTTTATCACAATTGCAAGGGATATAATATTTTGCTATTTATTGGTAATTTTTGGAAAATTTTTTAATGAAAGCACATCCTTTCATATTCTCATCTAATTTTAATGTTCTTTAGGCGTGAAATTCAATGCCTTAGAATTTATGGGGGTTGAAAACAGCAAGACCCTTTTTGGAGAGGATATTAAAATTGCAGATATATGTTGGAAATTGCTTTTATCCTTTTTTAATAATTTAAATTTAAATGTGATAATACTATAATACGTTTATATTTTTTGATTGCATTTTTAAAAAAGTTTATGAAAAAAAAAGTTTGTGGAGTATTTATTTCAGATACATGTAATAGATAGATAGATTAATATTATAGATATGATATGATTTCATATGACTTCAGTCATAAATTTTACAATAGTGTTTGTAAGCGAGTAGGATTTAGGAAGATTGTGAAAGTTCTATGGTTCGCCAAGAGTACATAAAACTAGAAATATATCAATTGCATAGTAAATTCTCTCAATCTATCAGAGTGTGCATTTAGAGTTCAACCACAGATAAGTAAATTATATACTTGACCAAAATTTTGAAATTTTTTTGGATAAATAACTTCTAGTTTTTGTTTTGGAAACTGCCTAATACAACTACAACATAAAATTTCTATCCTATTTTGAATTCAGTTATTAAAATCGAAAAAGGAATGTACTATAAATAATTTCTTTTTTTATGCTCTCTCTTGGCATATGTGAGAGAAAGCATATTTAAGCTTTGGAAATAGGTTTTAAAAAGTTGTTTCAGTTAAATCTGGTTGAAATAAATAGCTTTAAAATAAATTTTAAAATTAACAATTGCTAATATATCAAATCACTACAAATAACTACAACATAAATTTCTTTATTATCTTGAACTCAAGTATTAAAATCCAAAAGAAATGAAAAATTAAACTCATATTTATGCTCAGTGGACATATGTGAAAAAAAGTTATTTTGAGAAAAAAAGCTTTTAAAAATTAATAAAAATATCAGTAGGTTTTATATTAATATAAAACAGCTTTTTAATAGGTACGAATATATACATTGATATTAAAGATATTAAAATATGCTTTATTATAGGTATACATTAATTTCTTTATAGCACAAGAATATTTTTAGTGTCATATGTTTGCTTTAATTTAATAAGTAAATCATCTAATAAAAACTATTCAAAATTTATGTCTGTAATCAACCACAAAATGCTTTTATCTTTTTCAAAATAAACTTTTGTCCTCCCTGAAAGTGTCATAAAACCTTATTTGCTACAAAATTATGCTGGTGCTACGCAGTAATAGAACTATCAGATACTATGAAACTGTGAGTACTATGAAAGCCACTGCATGGCTCAAAGTCAAACAAACTAAAGTGAACCATTTTTTCTCCAAACAGTTTTCAGTCGTATCATTTACTCTTCATCTCCGTGCATATCCATCCCATCATTTGTATTTTGCCCTTTAAAAGTGAAACTCAAATAAAAACTTTCATAATAAAATTATTGTGTATTTGTTCCCATGGCAGCAATCCCACCATACTACTTACATACCTACATGTATATTAATGTATGTACTCTATACGTTCATATGTAAATTGATGTATTTGTGTTTGTTTTACATTTACGCCTATACATTTACACACACAATATACCTTTTTACCTAACAACTCCGAGTCTCCTGGGTAATTATTTTGTTATTGCATATGTCATAACTTTTAACTCGCATGCAACTTTGTCTCCCACATGTACCAGCATTGCCATCAGATAAAAACAAAATTTTATTAAATAAGAACAGTAAAATAAGAAAATCACAATCAAAAAATCTGTAAAACAAATATTACAACAAAACTTACACTAACTAACAAAAAGTTTGTTTTATTTTTCTTATTTTAATATTTTATTTAAATACAAAGTACAAATGATGGAATTAGTTTTTGTTTTATAACTCAAGGGATCCTTTTTTCCCCTTTTGGTTAGTTGGCAAGTCATGTGGAAACATAGAGAGTTTTACACAAATTGCATTTATTGTCATATTGCAGAAGTCACAATTTTTTTTAATAAATTATTTACGTTTGCTAAAAAAGAATTTTTATTTCTTTAAATAAAATTTAATCTTTAATATGAAAACTATTTTTCAATAACAATGGAAGGTCCTTTCCTATGATGAATAGTAAATAGTTACTCCTTTGATATTTCTCATTTGAACAATTTCGGTCATTTTCAAAGCATACTTTAAGGGGCAAAATGAGTTCAGTTACAAAAATTTAATGTTTTTGATTTCTAAAGCAAGGAGGATATCTTGAAAAATCTGCTAATCAGAATTTAATAAACTTTAAATTAAAAATAATATCTCCATAAACGGAAAAAAAAATATAGAAAAATTGTACTAACAAAGCTGGCTCAACTAGTCTGGATCTATTGAAATTCGGGTCAATACGAATTATTGTGACTATCGGTTTCCGGGAACCATGTCAAAAGCCTGGAAAAGTAATATGCATGTTTATAAATTTATTTTGACAACAGAAACAATAAAAATTGAATTATAATTTAATCCACATTAAATTAATTCATAAATTAATTGATACTTGTACCTAATTAATGGTAAATTTGATAAGCAAATAAACAGAGGCTGTAGGCGAATAGCATATGCATATGCACATAATCCATAAATGTGATTAATTTCACTAGACTTTCAAGCAGACATATTCATAACATGTTAGCCGGATTATCGAATCAGTGGTGAAATCGGACTACAAGGCGAATTATGCATATTATGCATTTTCTAATTTTGTCTGTATCACGAGAGAATCGGATTTAACAAAGATTCGAACAAACGCAGTTCTTCTATATGTATATATCTAAGTATTTCTTTTATAGTCACACAATACTTCAATAAACATATTGAATATAAAATTTTTGGGAAATGCTTAAATAGAGTTTAATGTAAAGCGTTTCAAAAATTTTTCAAAATAAATAAAATTATTTTAAATTCTCGTAGTTTGCAAATAGGTTAAGTTAGATGTAGTTTCAGGAGGAACAAGGCCTGCTGTATTAGCTAAGAAGTCTTTTTGATTCTACAATTACTTATAATGGTGGGTAAGAGAATGATCATGTTAGAACCAGCCAGACGCATTGGTAAATGCGAGAATCTAGTCAGCGGTTATGTTAGAAATATCGTCAAGTGCGTTGAAGAATAGTGCACCTAACAGCTTAAGCCTGGTTCCGACAAGGGTTTGACTTAGACAACAGAAGTGTTGGTGTCTTTTCTACAAGCATCGGTAGACATGTACTGGAGGGAATTCTACCGGGAAAACTACATGGTAGGCTGAGCTTAACCCCATGCCGTTCTATAATCTAGAGCTCTCTTAGAACAAATATTAACTTACATACTTCTGATTTGCTTATGTGTATCAATTCAGAGATTCTACATTTTAAGTAAAATGACCAAGTAGCACTTGATCTAGCTCCTGAAGAAGAATGAGTCCATAGGCACTAATTGCCTGTAAAAATAAATTATCATTAATCACTCTACTGCTGTGACTGGCAGGGGTAAGGATTGGAACAGAAGCTTGCGCAGAAGAAGCTGTCTGACTATATTGGAATGCTCTAGAACCCAAATTAAAGTTACATCGGACCTGCAACTTAATATGTTAATATATTGTCGAAGATGTGGTAGGATTTAGTGATCCCTAAGTGTTTGGAAATCGCTATTCTCCTTTGCGTTATAATTCGCTCTGTCTCCCTCGCAAATACTTAATATCGATTATATATAGAATTTTGGATTAAAAGTTTAAGATATTGAGGTCAATCTTTAGATTCTGACTCTAAATAAATCTAATTATATTAAAAGGAATAATAAAATATTTCATAAAAATCTTAAATAATAAGCTGGCCTTGAAATATAATTAACTGAATAGGATTACATGTAAAATTAAAATAAAATAAATTTCTTATAAAATTTTTCTGTCTCGAAATTGTTTCAAAATTTATCCTGGCAAAAGCCAAAATTTTGTAAATATCTAAATTCAGAATGCAAAATGTAGGAAAACTAATAAACAAAATTGCCTCTAGTGCGATTCAAAGGCGATTAAGTTGTATAACTTCTAAATTTGCTAGCACAAATGACAAAATGGTGGTAGGGGACTCTAAGGAAAGCATGCCAAATGAAATCCATAAATTGAATGACGGTGATAATGATGACTTGCCTACTATCATCGATATTGAGGTGGATCCATCGTTTTATGAGGAACTAGGTCTCGCTATTCCTCCTCACTCAAGTAATGTTATCAATACCGCTAATATTCCTGAAGTTGGTACAACACAAAGTGATGATATTGCATCACCTAATAAATTGCAAAGACGAGGCAATCGTGGTTATATAAAAATTTATCCTAATACAGTTGACGCGGACCAGTGGTCCATGTATAGAACAGATAATGAGGAGGAGTAGTGGAGCTAGCATGGTAACTCTTTATATATAATTTTTTGATTTTTAAGTATTTACTAACCAATTTGTTCTAAAGCTGTTGATGAGGACGTGTGCCGTTGAGATGGGGTCATACTTAAACTGGATTAGAGTTTGCTTGATAATCCCACTGAAGTAGTTAATGACAAGGAACTTTTAGTGTTTACTTCTGAATTTATTCTAAAAGAGTTAATGACAAGGACTAGAGGCGTAAAATAGAGGATATACTTAATAATCTGCACTTTTGTTATTCAAATCTTTTTTCGCATAAATATCCTATTTATTTTAATAAATGACAGATAATTCAAGTTAATGTAAATACATTTTTTGTACTCATAAAAAGTTTTACTAGTGACAAAGTGGGGGATTGACAAAATTGGACGTTGGGTGTTAAGTGATCTGATGCTTGTTGCTGTCAAATCAAGTGTTGTTAATATTGTCAGAGTTTTGCTTCTATTTTATTTAAATTTTTTTTATTAAGAAATATTTATTTATTAAAAATAGAAATTGTAAAAAAAAATTGTAGAAAAAATTAAGTAAAATATTCAATCTGTTCACCGCGCAGTATGTAGAACCTTCGAAATCTTAATTAACATCATTAACATTCTTGTGTCTTTTAATTGTTGATCTTGACTTGCAAAATAATGTTTATCGAGAAAACGAATGGGGTTACATCTCGTAATTGTGAGGTTATTGTGAAACTGATATATGAAGTATTGTCATAATTGGAATGTGTTATTTAATATGTTTAATCAGCACAGCATCGCGAAACAGTCTACTGATATTTAATATTTTAACTGTTTAATCTTTTCACTAGATTGACATTATAAACTCATTTGTTGCTGATCTACTTTTGTGAGAAATGAGACATTTTGAAAAAGGATCTTATCGTTAGATTATCTAAACTGCCACGTAAACTGAGTAATCAGGATTTTTTCCAATATTTTTTAAAAGTAAACTTAGTAACTAATGTGAATAAGGGTTAGATTAGGTTATACGGGCAATCTAAAAGTTATCCACTAATGTCTATTAGCACATTGTGGTACCGTATAATGTACACACTTAGAGTTTAAATTCACTTGATACCTTTGGTGAAGCTTAGAATGCTGTTTAGTGGGGGGTCTTGGGGTTGATCTAGATACTTAAGGAAGAAAATCACCGCTAGCCGTTCGTTGCACATTTTCTTCGAAGGAGAACTAGACCTGGCAGAGGGGCTAGAACGAGTGGGCTAACATATTTAGATTATATATCCTTTTAAAAATATACTTTTATTACCTTGGATGCCTTATTACGACACGCAGTCTGGCGACAAAGTAGAGCTCGGTTTTACTGTCCTTATTGCTGTATTCGTGTTTAATTTAGTTTGGTTCACAATCTTTAACTCACGAGTGGTGAGGAATGGTGAGTTGATCCGAACAAAGATCAGCTATATCCGAACAAGACTATCATACATGCGGAGGGCGCTACCTATCTGGAAGTCACCGTTCAGAGACAAACTGACGTAGTGCCATTCATTTTAAAGGTACGGGTCGAATAACACCTAAGATTATGGGTTTTATCGATTTTTTTTCTCTAAATCCATGGTGTTCTGTTTTGCCAATAGCAAACAATATAAAAACAGGTTCACCTCAGTAAGGGTGTGATATAACATCACGCAGCATGGTCTTGGTATAACATAAAGTGACCTTAAGGCTTAAAATATGCTTTAAGGTCGTAGTGCCACATCCCTTTATCCCCTTGGTTTTTCTAGATAATATTTAATTGAACTATATTTGGTGTAAAGTTATATGTATATAGTTACCATTCTAATCGTTGATTCAAGTGGCTGACTCATATGTTTCTACTATTAATATTAAACAAAATTCAAGACCAAAAATTCTTGGTTTGATTTTTGATACAAACTTGCTTTAAAAAAGATATAAAAAGGTTTAAATTTTTTTTTGTGAAAATATACGGAAGGATACAAAAAGAATCCTCTAATAAAATAAGTTAGCTAAAAATAAAATAAAATAAAATAAAATTTTTTTCTTTATAATAAAATTACTTTTGCTTGTTTTGATGAACAAATAGAGAAAGGCTACAGGACATTTACATTTCCTCTCAATGCTTTGTGTTCACACAAAGGATATCCCGTTAATGTGCGCTTTATCCTTATATAACGTTCTCGTTTTTACGCCATTTTAACATTGATATTTATCGTAAATTGTTGCCATTGTCGTTAGTGAAAAAGCGTTGACAACACTAAACAGCAACAGCAACAGCAGCAGCAGCAGAAGTGAAGTCAACAACAACTACAACTACAACAACAACATGGACAACCAACAATTCAACCATTTTCGTTTTCATTATCAGATTCAGCTTTAGCTTTAGCTTCAGTTACAGTTACAGTTTCAGTTTAACCATCTGCATAAGCTTCAGTTCATCATATGGCAGTGTCTGTCCCTCTGGCGGCGTCGGAGGTAGTAGTCATATTTGGATTCCATGTTGACTAAACAGTTAAATTGTCAGACAAACGCGGCTTAATTTCAAAGATAAATAAAAACGAAATTCAAACAAACAGAAAAAAACCAACAAAAGATATTATGGAGAGCCTGGAATGAAGGTAGTCATTGAATTATGTATCCTTTTTGGTAAGAGGATTTTAATGTTAAAAAATTGAAAAATGGATTTCATGTTTAAAGTTTGTTTTCTTTCTTTATGTATTTCAATATTTATTTAAAAATATTTCTTTTTTTTATATTTTTTAAAAAGACCGATGCATTTTTTCATGGTAATATATCATTTATAAAACAAATTCTATTTACAAATGAAACTGCTATGCTTTTTGGCTTTATATGAAGTCATTTATTTTTCACGATTTTCTAGTATTTTTTTTTTTTTTGCAATTTATTAAAATAAATCTATTGAACAAATAGTACAGCTTACGTAGTTTTAATTAACTAATAGGATTTATATGCATTTAAGCTTAAATGCAAATATAAATTATTTTTTATGAAAATGTGTACTCCACAGAAGTATCATTTGCATATATGTAAATATATCAGTTTGTGTACATAGCTGATTAGTATAGTCAGAAACGGAAATAAGTATACTTCAAATTAATGAAAACGGAAAATAAAAATATATTTCCATTAAAAAGTTTAAAATTTATTTTTGAAATAGCATATTATAGCTAATGGTGATTTGAAATATTTTATAGTAATTGAAAAAGAAATGTTTCGCAGTATATATCACAATAATTTGCATTTATGATGATATAAATTGTAATTAACCCAATGCAAGTCCTATTGCAACCGAATGATAATATTGAATTTCCTGTAGTTAAAATACAGTAGCTGCTAATAATGGTATAAAATACTTTAAAAAAATTGAAAAAAAATATTTATCATACAATTTACAATACTTATCACAATAGTAAGCATTTATGATAACATTTATTATGATAAACCCAATATAATTATTTTGTAATTACATTCAAATGATATTCAGACACACCTTAATTTCGCTAAAATCTTAATTTCAACTTCGTTCCAACAAAATGAAGTTGTTTTTACATAAAAAATTCAGTTTTGAGGTTAGACCGAAATTAAGGAAAATTGTCTTAATTTCGTTGAAATTAAGGAACATTTCAAATGAAACTATGCGTAAATTAAATTTTAAGCAAAAAATAAAGTTGCAATAATGACACTTTTTTAAAAAAAAAATAATTCAGATACCTGAAACCCACTAAAGCTAATAAAACTATTAAGTGTCATCCTCTATAGTTGTAATAATCAGCTTTAAAAATTTCCTAAATACAAGTAGTGTTTGGAACATGTAATTTTCAACATTCGATTTGTAAACAGAAAACATGATTTTCTTAATTTGGGGCAGTATGAACACTTTCAAAATGAACTTAATTACTGAATTTTCACGAAATTAAGGAAATTTGGCTGTCTGAACATAGAGTAATGAATAATACCTGTGAATAAAACGCAGGGTTGTGTTTGAATTGAACGTGTTCAATGAGATAATTAAGCAGTTTTAATTGGTTTATGAGAAATGTAACTAGTTTGTGAATAGAACAGAAATCAATTTAAGTAGAACACTTGTAAGTTAAAACCAACCTATGAAAGTTTACTAAGAAAGAGTTCTTATATAAAACCAAAAGCAATTTGCTAGATAAAGCGAATACTTAATTCCGTTCCATAACTTTCTTTGACTATCAACAGCCATCGAACTGTAAGCATTTGCTTATTTGAGTTCATTTCCATGCCACAGCCCAGCAGAGATAAAATAGTACAATCCAACAAACAATTAAAAAATTGAAAAGCATCCAGTTAAGATATTTGTACTTTTCCGATTTCCTAAGCAAACTTTATTTTAGTCTACTACTAAACAAAATTCGACAAATGAACATTACTATAAGATCTCAGCATCGACCCGGTTCAAACTGCATAAAGAAGTATAAGTCAGGTTCTTTGAGTAAGGTGTAACCTGCTCAGCACAACGGTATCGATGCTGACGGATTACTGCGTATTAGAAACATACATTATGAGAATGGGTTTACTCTAAAATAAATTGTGTCGGAGTTATGGATTTGTGGATGAAGAGTTCACTGTACTTTATCTTATATGTCATTGCCCATCATTGACTCGGACTTGTTAATCAATAAGCTACCATTGTGCAAAATTAGGGACTTAGCCAAGTTATTAGACTTGTCAGGTTGATTCACTTTTACTTGAATAGGGGAGTCGTGTCTTCGGTGTTCTTTGTACGCTGGGTTCAAGGCTGCTTATGAATAATGCTAATTCATGGTATCACCAAAGACCATTATTTGAGCTCAAGTGAGTTTAAGGCACTTTGGATACCTATATGTAATCATATTAAAATTTCATATACTAGTTAGATAATGTGGGTATTATCGAAAAGGCGATAGTATTATTAATTTTTCACTTTGATATGCTGAGAAGTTAACCACGTGAACATAAATCGGTATCACGACCTAAAAAGTATATCAACAGATTTCTGCAAAACCTCTGTGAACAGTCTAACTAAAAGTTTTAGACATATAATTAAAAAGTACTGCAATAGAAACGATTCTTAATAATAAAAAAAGCATTTATGTGCTATGCAGGGGTCAAAAAAGGGAACTTTATTGCAACTTGGAGCAATAAAGGTATATCTTTGAGAACTCATCAGACTGTTCATTGGTAAAAACGAAGAGCCTATTATCTAAGTTCGAAGGGATGAATTTAGTCTTTATTCTTCTATCTTAGTGTTTCCTGTGAGGAATGTAGTAGCAAAACAGTAAAAAATCACTAAATGAGGTACATGGAAAG